GTGTGTGTGTGTGTGTCACCAGATCTGTAGGAACTGTAGCGGCTGTGCAGAGCGGCACGTGCCCTGTGTGTCTCTGGACTGTCCCGTCCTCTACAAGCTGTCTCGGGTCACCAGACAGCTCTCCAAGGCCCCGTACCTCCGACAGCTGCTGGAGCAGTTCTGATTGGCTCGTGAACCCCGGAGCTCTCCACTGATTTGGTGCTAATCGCTGCCCCCTCCCACCCCCAGTGTTTCATTGTCCATTCAGTTGTAATAGTTTAAATGGTGCTTTGATTGAACCCTGTTGGGTTTTCATTCGTCTTGTAACTGTTAAGTATTTCTCTGCGTGTGCAGACTCTGGTTTGAGCCTCCTGTGGGGAGCGTCCCCCCCTCCTTCCCCCTTCCTCAAGCTTGTGTTTGTGTTCATGTTTGTTTGCTGCCATCTCCAGTAGCTGCTATGGGCTGAGTTAGCTGATGTTTTTGGTGACACAGCGACAGACTGCCTGTCATGAAACTGAGTGCAGTCCAATCCAGGATGAATTGTCTCTCATGTGCGCTGTAGCAGTTTAAAGTCACTGAAAGGAACTTCCTTTCAAATCTCAAGACAAACTACATTCAAACCACTAATTGACTTTTCTTCATTTTTATATCGACTGCAGTCTTTCTGTAAATAGTTCCTGTATAGCTCCATCTATAATCTCACTGTGCATTAGCATTAAAAAAATGAAAGCTCCGGCCATGAATGCAATCAAATCTGTTTTTGACGTGTTCCTTTTAACCTTGATTGTATTGATGTCCACTTTGGCAGATTTGACACTTCACACTCCATAGTGTGGGACTGGAAACCATTTCAGTTTTTAGAATCTGGGACTGTTGCAATACTGTATTTTGATATTAATTTATGTCGAAAAGAGTCTATTGTTTCCATGTGCATATATGGTTTTGTGTACGTTTCCAATTTTCACTGCAAAAAATAATGTCATCAAAGCGCGTCAAGATTGAATCTTCTATTCTCCATACAGCCGTACACAGGACCTGTGTATTTGTATAAATGTAAAAAATAATAATGAAGGAGGTGTTGTTTTTGTTTGTTTTTAATGGACACGCTGTGGGTGGAGGTTTGAGATTGATATAATAAAAAGTCAATGTATTAAAACGCTTCCTGTCAATGACTGAAAAATGACTCAGACAACACGTGTGATTTAGAGAACTGCAAGTCACAGAACACATTACAGTACATGACAAATCTCATATTTACAAAAGTTCAACAAAAAATAGCTCCCTTCAAATCTTACAACTATCATCACTGCAGTAGTGCAAAATTAAATTACAGTTTTAAAACCTCAGCATTTGGCAGCAGAGTGGAGCGATAAAGAGGAGGGCGTCATCCACTCAGCTCTTGTGTCCTCAAGCAAGGCACTGAATTCTACCAGCCCTGTTCTCTAGCTTACGGTGAGCACTGGAGGGGAGCAGGCCAACAGACCCCCTGTAGAGAATCAATGATGTATAATGTTAGGTGAGGGGTGGCTCAGGTTGAAGAGAGGGTCGTCGGTTTTCACCTCCTGTTCGCGTGTTGTCCAAGTGTCCTTCAGCAAGATACTGAAGTCCAGTTTGGCCCTGAGCCTATGCTGATGGACAAGCCAGTCCATTCCTAACTGCCCAACCCGGATAAACGGGGAGGGTTGGGTCAGGAAGGGAACCCGTCGTGAAAAGCCTACTCCAAATCACATATTCAGATCTACAGATGAAACGTGTCGGCCCCTACCAGTCCTTCATTCAGGAGGAGCTTTAAAAGATGCTGATGAGTCTGTGCAAAATCCAAACTTTGAGTCCACACACTGGTTTACAAGCTGCACAGGTTTCGGTCAGTCGTCAGTGTTGCGTTCACTGCACAGTAAATCATCAGAAGTGTTCATACATATTGGAGTTTTCAGGTTCTGGACAGACAAACGAGCACAGACATGTAGAGGCACGGCTCTATTAGAGTTTAGGGAGCACTTAGAAATCACAGGAGGAGCTCTCAGTCTCTCTTCTCTCTGTCCAGAGAGAGCAGTAGTTTGCGTCTGGGGGAGTCTCCCACCAGGGAGATGGTGTCTGAGAAAGAGTCTCCAGCTGCAGGCTCTGTCCCCTGGCTGTTAGAGGCAGCAGAGCTTCCTGTTAGGCCGGGGATGTCGGGAGGAGAGGAAGCCTTGCTGGGTGAACTGACGAGACTCGCTGTGTCGTCCATTTCAATGACCTCAAAGTCTGCATCGTTCCACTGATCGGCCTCGTTGTCCTGCTCCTCCTCTTCCTCCTCCTCCTCCTCGTTAGCTCCCGAGTCCAGCAGTGCCTGGCGGTACTCGCTGTCATCTGCGTCAGGCCGGCCCCTGGCGCGGGGCTTCCTGCTCTGGCCGCTGGGGGCCGAAGCCAGCTTGTACATGACCGGGAAGAGGATGGAGGTGAAGGTGGAGGTGATGAGCGCCAGGTACATGAGCAGGGGTTGGTCCTGGAACTTCCCGAGCAGGAAGCCTACCAGAGCAGGCAGCACCATCTCACCCAGCGCTGCGCCAACCACAAAGGTCGCTGCCGTGTGGCCCGTCACCGTGGTGTACTGCTCCACCCAGGAGATACCGCTTGGGAAGGTGGTGGCCATTGACGCACCGTACAGACCGGTGCAAATCCACAGGGCCACGTTCTTCCTGCTGAAGAGGCAGAGGAGCAGAGAGGACACGGTGGAGCCCACCAGGCTGAGCAGGATCATGGTACCCGGGTACATGCAGGCCGCAAAGAAGATGGCCAACCCCCTGCAGGCGGCAAATGTGGCCCAGAACAATGAGTTGAGTCCAGCTGCCTGGGACTGATCCATGTGAGCGTGATCCTTGGCGAAGGTGTAGATGAAGGAGCCGTATGCTACCTCAGCACCTACATAGGCAAAGAAGAAGAAGAAGAGCAGTACAACAAGAGCCATGTGATGTTTGGCCACCAGGGGCTTCCCTGAAGGCGTGCGGGCTTTGTCCCGTGAAATGCTGCTGCGAGAGTAGAGGATGAAGAAGAGGAAGGAGACGAGGAAGACAAAAGAGCCGATCACAACGTAGGCCCACATGGATTTGAGGGTGCTGCTCTTGCTGTGAACCCAGTGGAGGATTGCGTGAGTGTCCGGGGCTCTGGTGATCTGCTCTGTGGCGACAGGAGGTGTAGAGTTGCTGGGTGTGGTTCCTGTGCTGCTGTTCCCGTCGGGCCCAAACAGCAGCTTGGCTATGATCGGAGACACGAAGGCCCCGGCTGCGAAGCTGAAGTGCAGAGCCTGCATGTGAGGGCCCGCCTGCTCGCCCCATGTGTTCAGTATGAGGACATTTCCACCTGACGGAGACAGGAGAAAGACTTTGATAATAGAATAAACCATCACTAACATTTATCATGTAGGAGCTTTTGTTTTTTTTCAATTAACAGGATAATGTCCAATGGGACATAAAAAGTAACTACCACCTTTCTACCATAAAGTAACAGCTTCAAAAGCATTTTGATGCTCTACGGAGTTGTAGGAGGGTGAATGTTGCCTCTGTCATTCCCACTCTGCAATTTGGTTTGGGGTCAGAGCATGTTGGTAACACACAGCAGTCACTGAGTTTAGTGAAACTGGATCAAATTTTACGGAGAAAATGTTTTCTGGTCTTCCCTCTGATGTCCTCTAGCTGCTCCGCCTCAACTATTGGTGATATACAGACTTTCCTGATGGACAGTAAAGTAACTTTTTTTTTTATTATTATTATTATGTGTGAAATGGCTACACTTTTGTTTATTAGGTTTTCTGTATTAGTCTTGTTGTGTATTAGGTCTTTAACAGTACAGGTAAAAAGGATACATTCCTGCACACTGTCCAACTTGCAATCTGATGAAAGTCTATCTAGTACCGAAACGTTGCAAATAAATGTTTGAATTGCAAGTTAGACAGTGTGCGGGAATTTATCAAGCTATCTACTTTTGGATACTCATTCCACTTCTAAGCACCTGCCTCATGAAACGGATAAGACATTTGTGTCTATAAAGAGTACATGTAAACACAAGTCATACATATGTGTCAACTGATACAAAGATGGCTACACATTTTTACAATTGGAGAACATAAGAATCACTTTAGGTCTATAACAATAAATGACAATGAATGGCAGCAGTAGATCCAATTACAGGAAAGTTTGCTGAGGTAACCAAACTCAAATGTACGACTCTAGACCTTCTTCTCAAGCAGGAAACAGCGAGCCAGCATGTGCGATACCACGACCCTGAGACTAGCTTATCTAAATGGAATGCAG